GGCAAAGTAATGAAACAACAATAAGGCGAGCACGATGACAAAGGGCAGGATGGATGTGAAGAGTCGTGGTATTGTGATGTAAGGTAGTGTAGGTATGTAATGGATGGTGGTTGGAAGCGGGAGGTGGAGGTGGTGGCGCTTGATAGGTAAGGTAGGTATGTAGGTAGGTTATGTTAGCAGCTGGGGTCAGTTAACAAGGAGGTGTGCATGTGACGAGGTAAAGATGCTAGAGGAAACCGCCGTCTTGATCTCTTATAAATTAGTAGCTTGAGAAAGCCAGATACGATTCATGTCAATATTTATGAGTTCCAATGAGATCATCGGAGCTATCACTGTGGGCTTATTGACTACGTCCACAGCTATGGTGTTAGGTGTTGAGGTATGGCAGAGCTGTCTGGAGGAGAAGCATCCAAGGGTGTTTACGGCTCCCAATTAGCACCCCAACAGGCGACAACAGAGGTGTACAGCACACCCAAGCTCATCTGCAACCCAGGTTTCCCCTGGAACAATTGCTCATTGTGGCTGACATTGAGTGAACACTGGGAATTATGGATCAGAGGGCGGAATGAGTGGAGGCCTGCGAGACGAGATAACCTATTCAGCATTGGCTCTGTTTCCTCCCTACTTCGATATCCGATCGCTGTTGATAGGTATTTTTCTTTCTCGTGCCCCAACGAACGAATTATATAGGCATGCATTCTCTTGTTGACTGCTAACCAACTCAGAGACCGCATGGAACCTCTTACCCATCCATCAGTTAGCGTCTCTGGCTTAAGACGCAGTGTCACCCCCACACCACTGCAGCCTTAGCTGATGACGTTCAAATCATATCGTCACCGCAAATGATGAGACACTCCCGAGTCCTGGACTGCGCCTGGCTATGTGAAATCCCGATAATGTCTTACAGTGTGCTTTTCTTCGAGAGGGTGACCAGAGACTTTTATGTTCTTACTGCTCCTCTGCGGCAAGCCAATACACGTCCTACCACCATGCTGACAGTTCTCGAGCAAGCTACTGTATCAGTACCTGTTACTTTGGTAGCTACCCATGTACAAGCTTATCATGCACAAGAAGGACATCTTGTGGTTGTAGCTCATCCACTACTTCCGTATTTCATGCACATGACCCTTCCCCTATACCATGTCAGGGTCTGGAGACAACTTATTTTTCTTTTCAAATCAACAAATTAGAACTGAGGCATGGCTATCTAAGGTCTATCGCCGCCTGAAGACTGGCATCGAAAGACACGGCAAGAACTGATTGTATAAGCAAGGGTCTAATAGTGCAAGTGTCCTTGAAGCACCAACGAAATATGATTGACAAAAACAAATGAACCGCTCCTGGGTTTGGCTGAATAGGATCACATACATACTAAACCCAAAGTCCATTCTAGGTCGCTTTTTGAATATACCTTCGAACGGGTACCTGGGGTTCGAACACCTACCGGTACCTATATCGAGGCCTCCAGCCAGGAGACAGTATCGCTATGGTTTCTCTTAGGTATGCCGCCCCGAGGAAGGCAACCACTTTTATCTTTGGGGACCATCACAGGCTGACGTGTTCATCAGGCTACAGAGTTCTGAGCTTCCAGCCAGAATGATATTCAGGGCCGTCACGTGCAATATCATTGATGGGAACGCTAAGCTTTTGGGCCAGTTATGTAAGGCAATAAAAGCTGAGATTGGGAATTCCTGCGCCACACTATGTGGCACAATGTAAGGACGTAATGCGGCGCGCAATTCTTAGTGCCATTAGGCTCGTGAACTCGCTGTCGTCTTGGGAGTTCCCTCCTTTATTCTAGCAACACCACCCATCTCTTATATACAACGACCTTGCACCCCCGAACGCTGTTCATTCTCACGACTTGCACGCTTGAAAAACTTACAGACCAACCAGGGCTGCTGTGGTGCCCTGTTCCAAGCTTCCGCAACGTTTCCCGTTATCTTTTGCCTCGACCGCTTTCTGGAAGTTAAATAAACCATTAACCCTCCTCCCCCACCTATCGTTTTCAACTCGCTCGATTCTACGCATCGTTCAAGCGTACACAGTTTCAAGCTGGAAGAATCAACGAACATGAGCGGCACCCTTGCTTCGCAGGGCGGCATTTCGGATCCCGCCCTGATCCAGTTAGTCACGATGCCTACCCTCCAACTCTACCCTACCTCTAACTTCCATTGATAGACTTGTCAACAAGCTTCAGGATGTTTTCGCGACTGTTGGTGTCAACAACCCTATCGATTTGCCTCAGATCGCTGTGGTAGGAAGTCAGTCAAGTGGAAAGAGTTCAGTTTTGGAGAACATTGTCGGTCGAGACTTGTGAGTTTGCTGCATACCGCCTATGTTAGGTCGCCATGAGACTGACCGCCCCTCCTAGCCTGCCCCGAGGCTCTGGTATTGTAACCCGACGTCCCCTCGTTCTTCAACTCATCAACCGTGCGCCCCAGAGCAATGGAGTCAAGGCCGAGGAGGTCGATACCACCAACGACAAGCAGGCCAATGCCGATGAGTGGGGAGAGTTCCTTCATGCCCCTGGGCAGAAGTTCTACGACTTTTCCAAGATTCGAGACGAGATCTCTAGAGAGACAGAAGCCAAGGTTGGACGAAATGCCGGCATCTCCCCCGCTCCCATCAACCTTCGTATCTATTCTCCCAACGTCCTCACTCTGACCCTGGTCGATTTGCCCGGACTTACCAAGGTCCCAGTCGGAGACCAACCCCGCGATATCGAACGACAGATCCGGGAGATGGTTCTCAAACATATTGGCAAGTCCAACGCCATCATACTTGCAGTCACTGCCGCCAACCAGGATTTGGCCAACTCGGACGGTCTCAAGCTGGCACGAGAGGTTGACCCTGAAGGTCAAAGGACGATCGGAGTCTTGACCAAGGTTGATCTGATGGATGAGGGAACCGATGTCATCGATATTCTGTCGAACCGTGTCATTCCTCTTCGACTGGGCTACGTCCCCGTTGTGAATCGAGGCCAACGAGATATTGATAATCGAAAGGCCATCAACCAGGCGCTCGAGGCTGAGAAGAACTTTTTCGAAAACCATAAGGCATACCGAAACAAGAGCTCATACTGTGGAACTCCCTATCTCGCGCGCAAACTTAACCTCATTCTCATGATGCACATCAAACAGACCCTACCTGACATCAAGGCCCGCATCAGTAGTTCTCTTCAAAAGTACTCAGCTGAGCTGGAAAGCCTTGGCCCCTCTATGCTCGGCAACAGCGCCAACATCGTTCTGAATATTATCACCGAGTTCACAAATGAGTGGCGCACAGTTCTGGATGGTAACAACACTGAGCTGTCCAGCACTGAGCTTTCGGGAGGTGCTCGTATCAGCTTTGTCTTTCACGAGCTTTACTCGAACGGTGTCAAGGCCATTGACCCATTTGATGTCGTCAAGGATGTTGACATCCGTACCATCCTCTATAACTCTTCTGGATCTTCTCCAGCACTATTTGTTGGTACTACCGCTTTCGAACTGATTGTGAAGCAGCAGATCAAGCGATTGGAAGACCCCAGTTTGAAGTGTGTTTCTCTCGTATACGATGAACTTGTTCGAATTCTGTCACAGCTTCTTGCCAAGCAGCTTTACCGCCGGTACCCTCAACTGAAGGAAAAGATGCATGGCGTAGTAATTGCTTTTTTCAAGAAGGCTATGGAACCTACCAATAAGCTCGTCAGAGATTTGGTGGCTATGGAATCATGCTACGTCAACACAGGCCACCCCGACTTTCTGAACGGTCACCGAGTAAGTTAATTCGCTTCTGAGCTTACTTGAAATGGCTCTTAACTGATATCTCAGGCAATGGCGATGGTGAATGAGCGATACAACCCCAGCAAGCCTGTTCAGGTTGACCCAAAAACTGGCAAGCCACTTGCATCAACTCCCCGGGCTGCCAGCCCGACAGTCCCGGATCCTGATAGCGCCGGCAACTCGGGCTTTTTTGGTAGTTTCTTCGCGGCCAAGAACAAGAAAAAGGCCGCCGCTATGGAAGCTCCTCCGCCCACTCTCAAGGCTTCTGGTACCCTGTCAGAACGCGAGAATATTGAGGTAGAGGTTATCAGTACGTTTAGATGAAGGGCTTGGCATCTACGGCATAATACTAATGACTGTACAGAGCTCCTCATCTCCTCTTACTATAACATCGTCAAGCGAACCATGATTGACATGGTCCCCAAGGCTGTCATGCTGAATCTTGTGCAGTAAGTGTTTCGCAGCCAGAGGTTCCGTCAAATCCCCTAATATCAGCTATAGATTTACCAAGGACGAAATGCAACGAGAGCTATTGGAGAACATGTACCGAACCGACACATTGGACGACCTTCTGAAGGAGAGCGACTTCACAATCCGACGGAGAAAGGAGTGCCAGCAGATGGTTGAGTCTCTCTCGAAGGCCAGTGAGATCGTCAGTCAAGTACAGTGATGTGGTGATGGACGAAGACTCGTATCATGACTTCCCTGCTCAGCATCGAGGTCAGACTGAGCCCTTCTGCCGCTTCTCCACCTACGAATTAACCGCCCCAGGGAGTTCACTACCCAGCAGTCGTCTCCCGGCCCCTTTCTCATGACGTCCTAAGCATCACTTTATTTATAATTTTCGATACCACACTTTTCAGGGGGAGCCCTAAGTAGACTGCTTAATGACTTATATTGGGATGCATGGCTTGGCCCTTGCATACGACAGGGTTTGCAGGCGTGGTTTTGTCTTGGGGCGCTGTTGATGAAGCGGGAGTAAGTGGCGGTAATGTGTTGGCTGGACAGCTACTGGCTTGCGCTTTCTACCAAGCTTACTTGTTAGCTCTGAGTGGATTGTGTAGAAAGGTCCTGTTGTAGGTAGAATATATAATCATTGCCCTTCTGAGTGTGCATCCAACGCAACTCTCTCTTTGGTGCCAGTGTCCTAACACACCAATTACCTGGTCTTTCTACCATTAGCGCAAGCCAATGGTGGCTTGTATAAAACACGACACTCATACTCAGTACATGTTACAGCTTGGAAAGCTCCTTGAGTACAAACCCTCCCCGCTCCAGTACATACTCGGTTCCGTTCTCCCATCCCAGCCATTTCCTCAAGACTTCTTCCCCCCCTGCTCCAGGCTTCAGCAGATTCGCTCTATAGCCGTCTCCGGGTACACCTGGGCCTTGTCCAAACCGAGATGGGTCTGCATGTCCTACGCCCTCTTTCACGGCAAGACAGGGCGTCTCCCGCAAGGTCACCGCCGGTCTCTGGTCACCTTCCCGCTTGGGGTCATTCTCTAGTTCGCTATACTCCAGCACAGGGGTGCAACACGCATCTGTACCATCGAAGACTAGTTCCCACTGGGCACGAGTCTTACTTCGAAACCTATCTGCCATTAAATGCCGAAGCTCGGGCCAGCGATCTCTGTTGTGCTGATCCTCTTCCCATCCTTGACCAGTAATCTCGAGTCCACTCAAAAGAATGGCAAAGAATTGCGGTTCAAGAGCTCCGACAGCGACATATTTGCCGTCCGATGTCTCGTAAGTGTCGTAAAAGGGAGCACCTCCATCGAGCAAATTGTTTCCTCGGCCACTGTTGCCCACCATCGTCTTGAGCGCCATTCGAGGAAAAGTGGTCAGATATGAGCTTCCATCTACCATATTTGCCTCGACAACTTGTCCGCGGCCAGAAGATTGTCTTGAGATGATGGCCATTAAGATACCTTCAAATAGCATCGCTCCTCCACCAGCGAAGTCAGCCAGGATGTTCCACGGCGGATGTGGCTTCTCGCCATCTCTGCCCAGCATTCCCAGTGTACCTGAAACGGCAAGATAGTTAATGTCGTGACCTGCCATGAGTGCGTACTTTCCATCACGACGGAACCCAGTCATGCGGCCATATATAAGTCTTGGGTTAAGACGGCACAGCTCATCCGGACCCAGTGACAGTTTCTCAAGTACGCCTGGACGAAAAGGGTCAATGAGGACATCGGCCTCAGCAACAAGGCGTCTTATAAGCGCAACGCCCCGCTCTGATTTGAGATCCACGGCTATGGAAGATTTATGCCGGGCTAGCATGTCTTCTGTAGGCGCAGATGCGTCGGGTCGAGCACGGTCTATGCGGAGAACCGAGGCGCCTGCGTCAGCGAGCAACATGCCAGCATAAGGTCCTTCAAGAAAATCGGTTTATCAACTTTGCTCTTTCATTTGTATTTGATGTACTCACCAGGAGCAAGACCAGCGAATTCTAGCACCTTGATGCCAGTCAAAGGAGGATGCTGCAACATGGTACGTGATGTTGAAGGTAAGATGAGATTAAATATGCAGCAAAAGGGCCAAACCAAGGCCTTCACTTACATAGGTAAGGCTAAGGGAATAATATCTGACTTACAACTAGAACGAAGGGGATATATAAAGATCCAATGCCTAAGTACCTACTAAGGTAACAATTCCCCGCGGTAACACCATCAGCCGAGGTTCCACAAGTGAACAATCAGGAACCATAAATTAACCCAGACTAGGTAACGCCGCAGCCGTTCAGTCCCAGATCCTTGGCTACTTAATGTTACATGCCGAAGTGGAGACGGCTATGAATGAACTTCACTGGAGATACGCGAGATCTTGGATCAAATTGAAGCAGCAACTCACACCAAAGAAATTTTGGCCAGATTGAATTACCACCTCTTCCCCAGAATGAGCCCTTGAAACTATCATTGAATGATGTAGCTTAAGTCCTCCCCAGTCTTGAAGAGCGAGACAGAATAATGATACCAAGTGATTTGGCAAACGGCCAAAGTTTGAACAATTCGAAAGGACCAAGCTTAGATATAATCCAGTGAACCAAGAACACATGTCACAGCGCTCTCATTTTCTTTGAATCAAAAGTGTCATGTTTCATTCTTCGTTCTATCGGGCTAAAAAGGAGAAAAAGTAAAAGGAAATAGGTGAGAAAAAACTATAAGATCCAGGCCCACGTCTATCGTGAAGGAAAAAAAAGAAAAGTGATCCCCTTCTTGAAACCCCGCCAACGCCCAACAGTATGCAAGCCCTGATAGTAGCCAAGAATGAAACTCCGTTCCATGCAGAAGTAGGGCGACATTGGGCGAGACAATCGTGATGAGAAGATCAGAGAGCCTTGATGTGAGCCCAGCTCGGGTATTGCGGTCTTTCTGATTGATCTCTTATCTCGCTCCAGGCATCCTTGAATGACTGTTTAGAACCAATCACCCTGGTCGTGCATGGCCTCGGCGACCTTGATGAAACCGGCGATGTTGCTACCAGCAATCAAGCTGGGAAGCTCACCCTCCTTGGCCTCGACGTACTTCTGAGCAGTCTCAAGACCAGCGACAAAGGCGTCCTTCATGATGGCCTTCAGGCGGTCATCAACCTCCTTCTCAGTCCACTGGATACGCTGGCTGTTCTGGGCCATCTCAAGGCCAGAAACAGCGACACCACCACAGTTGGAGGCCTTGCCGGGGGCGTACCAGAGCGCCTCAGCACCCTTCTCCTTGCGGTGAGCCTCGAAGACATCAATAGCCTCAGCAGTGCAACCCATGTTGGAGCCCTCAGCGACGATGAAAGCGCCAGCATCAACGAGAGCCTGGGCCTCCTCCTTGCTGACCTCGTTCTGAGTAGCACTGGGGAGGGCAATGTCGACCTTACCAACATGGACCCAAGGGCGGGCGCCCTCAATCCATGTGAACTGTCCATCGTGCTCGAAAGTGGTCAGGGCTTGGTGCTTGATCTTGAGGGCAGCAATGTTGTGAATTTGCTCGGGTGTGAATGAAGAACCCTCCTTAGCGACGAGAGCACCCTTGGAGTCGGAAAGAGAGACAACAGAACCACCAAGCTCGATGATCTTAAGAGCAGCGTATTGGGCGACATTTCCGGAGCCGGAGAGAGCGACACGCTTACCCTCGAAGGTGCCACGGTTGGCGTGCTTGAGCATGTACTCGACGTAGTAGACGAGACCGTAGCCAGTAGCCTCAGGTCGGATCAAGCTACCACCCCATGAAAGACCCTTTCCAGTGAGGACACCCTCCCAACGGTTGCGAAGCTTGCGGTAGGCGCCAAAGAGGTAACCGATCTCTCGGCCACCGACACCAATATCACCAGCAGGAACATCAGTCTCGGCACCAATGTGCTTGGACAGCTCAGTCATGAAAGCCTGGCAAAATCGTCGAATCTCGGCATCAGACTTGCCCTTGGGGTCGAAGTCGGCACCACCCTTGCCACCACCCATGTTGACTAGAACAATGTTAGCGAGTCTGGTTCATTCACTTGTGCCAATGCCATCGCCCCGCAATATGCAGGGACTAGATAAGCGCGGTGATGAGGTCACTTACGGCCAGTCAGGGCATTCTTGAAGATTTGCTCGAAACCAAGGAACTTGAGAATGGACAGGTTGACGCTGGGGTGGAATCGAAGACCACCCTTGTAGGGGCCGAGGGCACCGTTGAACTGGACTCGATAACCGCGGTTGACCTGTAGGTTACCCTTGTCGTCGTTCCAGACGACACGGAACTGAATGACACGCTCAGGGATGGCGGCCACAGCAAGGGCAGTACGATACTCGGGGTGCTCATTGAAGAGAGAGCTGTTCTCGAGGGCAGAGGCGAGCTCTGGAGATTGCAAGTCAGGGTTTGTGTTCTCATTGATGTACATAATGGGTTACCTACCGCCATAGGCCTGCTCGAACTCGGGCTCTTGGGGAAGGTGAGACATGGTGTTCAGCTGCATTTGGGATGTGTATCGAAAGTGGTGGTTGATAAATAGATTCCTGCTGGGAACGAGATTGCGAAGAGATTCGATACACTTTTCGAGACGTGTGAGTGTGAGATAAGGAGGGAGGGAGGGAAACCGTCTTGAAAGCGACGGGAAGGCGAGGTTTATATGGTTATCGAGGGCTGCAAAAGAATGGCAAGAGATGGTCGCTTGGGTCACTCCATCACTCTTTCCGTCATGGCATCGAGGTCCGCGTCCGCATCCGATACAAGACCGATGCCAGGACGGGATAGATACATGAGCGCAGCGCAACGCAGCGTGGCACGCACGCACGCACGGCACGGCTCAAACATGCGACAATTCGTGTTCAGAGATAAAGGACGGGAGTCAGAAAAAAGCTCACTCGATAGGCAATCGCGTTGCCATTATCCCATCTAATCGAGTGACAAGACACACCCTAATCTCTGTCGTTCCCGATAAACCCCAGTCTAGCGTTACACCCCACATCGACATCGACAAGGAGCCTCATCACACACCCCGGGGGGTTTTCCAATATTTTCCAATCCTGTCTGGTTGTCTGGAGTTGGGGTTGGGGTTGTGGTCTTGCAAGTTGAAGAATTTGGATGTTGTAGACATAGACGAAACACATATTATCGTAGCATGCCCTTCCTTTTCCTTTTCCTTTTCATCTACCATTCAAGGTAATAGAAAGACTCAAGCAACCGCACAAGATTCATGCCTCACTTTAGCAACTCACATGTGAGAGCACTAGTTAATCTATTACTACTACACCAGGGTCTTCACAGCTGCCGTGAGCTCCTCCGTACAAACTCCGTTTCTTCCCCACCATCTCATCTGGCCAATGGATCTCGGGCTCTCATATGTCGCGCGCCTACGGGTACCTTATTAGCCTCCCATTCTCACGGGCAACCAGGGCATGGTCAACCTCCGATATTCGCTCGTTCACTCCGGCAATGTAGGTCCTGGCTGCCGTCGTACCATGCCCTCTGTAGTAAAGATCAAAGACGCCATGTTTTCAGCCATTCATTATTCATGATACGGTTCCTATTAGCCAACGCCCATTATTCCAATCCATTATCAGATCCCCTCCATTCGCTCTATACGGAGTACAGCACTTCACCTCCACGCTTGCCACCGTCGCTCTTAGACTTGCGCGGTGGGGGTTCTGTCAATTACATGCACATCTTATCTTGGCTTGTGTGAAATCATCATCGACGTTAATCCGTTCATCAATGCCTTTATTAATCACTTGCAATTCCTGCTCAGCGCCAAACTGAGCTGGCCTGACTGTTGCACTACTCTGAGTATATCCCCAGGTAAGCATGGACCTTCTCAGCTAACAAATAACCCCACACGACGTACAATCACGGTAGGTCCCTTGCTGCATCCCACGCTCAAAGGACGACTCCAGGACATTTTTTATTTTATTTTTTGAGGGGTGATCTGTGTGTCTAGCGGAATGAGAAAAAAGTGCCCTCATCCCCCAGCCCACCACACTCCTAATTAACCTAAATCTTAACATTAAAGTCCTGTGTCGTGTGTGTGTAGGTACGTAGATGCATCAGCCAGGCTCCCGGGACTTTAGCCTGACCAAGCGCGTCAATTCAAACAATCCATTACCAATTCCCAAGCCAAACTTATTCTTTATATCTAGAAAGGGAAATATCTTTTGCCTTCTGTCGAATCAGCGACAACCCTGAATGCGGGAATAGCTCATACCGTTGCATCTTACCCTTGTCCCGTAACCGGCGTCTTCCTCCGACCCAGCGAACTTGGAAATACAGCATGCGCCGGGATAATTATCCTTGTCCACTTCCAGGTTACTTCAACCATCTTGCTCAATTATTGTCAGTGATATTCGCCGTGGCCCCATTGACACGCAGCACATATCGACACTCCCCGGACCCTGAACTGTAACTGTAACTGTTACCTAGTCTCTATACTATCAAGACATTCTTATTGGCCGCCTTGTCATCTTGTTTGAAGAATGAATTGACATCAACTCTTCCTCCAACCAATGGCGCTCTTGATCAGCCAACGTCGGAAAAGGATCTATCAAACCACAACTCAAGCAGCCTCAGACCATCATATGTTGCCGAAACCCTTTCCGAACGAATAATTACTGGCACGCTACAGTTCGTTCAGTGGCGGGGATACTAGGATAAAATAATCTGGGGGAGCCTGTCCTGTCACAGCATTCTCCTAATTCATCAGTACGGATACAGCGCCTGTCAAATTGCCAGAGCATGTCTCCCCGGACCGATTAGAAGACTTTAGCTTCCGTTTCATCCCTCGCCATGCTTTTGACCGAGACTACCTCGCTCCAGACAACAACAAATTTTGGTCTTGATCGTGAATGTTTAGCCGTCCGCCGTTTACGGAACTGGCTGATCCATCCGGACATACATCTCCATGAGAAAGAAAGTCTGAGACCAGATGCTCCGGGTGCCCTCCGAAAACTACAGGAACCAGTCGAAATTCCCGGGCTTCATCGCCGAACCACTGCAAATCGGCCATAGCCCGAGGATTAAGCACTGGCCAC